ATTGAATCTCTCCTGGGCTAGCGGCGTGTTCAGCTATTCTCATTGTGATTTGCACACAAGCAACATGCTAGAAATGCTGCCAGCAGGCTGAATTATGGAAAAACTCTGTAATGCTGGTACCTTTTGAGATGGTTGCGGCAGAGATACTTTTGCTCAAGTCGGTTGCTGGAAGGATTTTAGGGCTGTTCAGAGAACTGGTCCTTTTTCTCCTATGGAGGTACAGCCCTGTGCATTCATGGGTTGCTGCAGAGGTGCGTGTATGCATTGGCTAGCACGCGTGTTCGCATGAGGTTGACTTCACGTGCAGCACTGGTGAGGAGGAGGAGGTGGGCTATGATGACGGCGGGTCGAAATCTGGGGAGGGTTGTTCCCTCGGGGAGGTTCGGGCAGGGTGAGGGACACGCCGTGCCTAGCACAGAGGGCAGCTACTGCCGCTGCCAAGGCGGGCGGAGGAGCAGGGCGAGCTGTGCCACGGGAGGTGACAGCTAGAAAGCACCCGGCTGGTGTGAAATGAGCCCCCACGGCTGCTGTGTAGAGTCACCCAATCTCTCAGAGAAAGCCCTGCCCCGAGGTCTCATCAACCTTGTCCTTTGTCATTCCCAAATTTCCAGATAAAACAGGAGAGGAAAGTGCCACTTGGCTGCTAATTATTGTGTCATTTTATTGCATTCATCCTCAAGGTTTGATATGTAAACCGGCCGCTGCGTGCTCGCTGCTGCCTTCCCAGCGAACGCTCTTGCCCACAGCGACTGTCAGGTAGCGTGATGTAGTTTTCCTCTCCATAAAAGAAGGCAGCATTTACCGTGGGGTGCAGCAGGGAAGTGTGCCCGTGAGCAGCTGACAAGTGCTAATTTATGTGTCAAAGCCCATCTTGTCCCCTTCATACATATGCAATCGTGTCTGAACGACAAATCCTCGCGCAGGAGCGTGCTCGTGACGGGTGGCGATGCTGCACAATTGCAGAGCCTGAGATTTCCCCTCCGGGGAGCTCCCCGGTGCCTGCGTCGCTGCTCGCCACCAAATCCTCTCCGCTCCCGGTTTGCTGGCGTCCTGCTAACAACCCGGAGCGCTCCGGCCGCGGAGGCCATTTGCTGACACCCCCTGCCTGCTCCCTCCCCCTCCTAATAAAACTCCTTGACACGTCAAGCTGCAAAGCTTTCCCATCCCTAGCCGTGCTGAAAGGTTATGGAAATCTGTTCATCATCTTGCTTGGCACGGGAACGCTTAGAGCATGATAATCGGGGAGACAGCGAGGTGGGACATGGAGGTCCAGGATGTGACCACGCAGAGCTCCTGGCTGTGATAATGAAGGGGGGAGAGATGTCAGAGTTACTGAAGTGAGAACCATCTGTGTTACAGCCAAAACTGGATACAAAGGCAATGACACAGGATTCATTATGTGCTGGGAACCCCTCCCCCCGAGGCATTATTATGGAGTAACCTTTGATCAAGACCAGAGAGAGGTTTAAACCAGGTCTGGGGATCTTAACAGTTGCAAACTTTTGATCCACATCTCCGTCTTGCTGGCCGGATCTTCCTCTGAAGGAGGACACCTTTCCTCTCGTGCAGCAGATGGCTGTGTTTCCTCCTGCCCTTTTTCTCTCCTTCCCTCTTTTACTCCTCTGCGCTGGCACGGTGAGTCAGAGCCAGGCTGAGCGCTGGGGAGCGCCCAGCTCATTCTTGGCGACGGCGCCCTTGCAGACGGTGCCGTCTCCCACCGCTTCTCCACTGTCTTAACCCTGTCCCCGCTGACGGCGGGGATGATGGTGGAGGTGATGTGGGTTGATGTCCTAAGGATTACAGCCCGGGGAAGGCTTTGGGAGGATGAGCGAGAGCCGGTGTCTGAGAAAAGGCAAGGGACGTGGGAAAAGGTGCCCGTGAGCTGGCTCCAGCCTCAAATTCTCCCAACGACTCAGTCCCATTAAGAGAAGGTACCATTAGGCAAGGGCAACGCAGACGCAGCCTTAATGTGGGAAGCTCTGTGGAGCGGCATGGCTGTGGCTAAGGTCCATAGTGCTCATCACCAGCAGTTAGCACTAGCCAGTTTTAAGGATGGGGGAGCTAATAGCGTTTTAGCACCTCTTTCCCCTCTCCTCCCATTCATTCACAACTGGTTAAAGGACAGTATCCAAGTAAAGAGATGCTTTTTTCTTTTTTTCCCCTCTTTTTTTTTTTTGCACATATACAGCTTCCAAATGGCTGGCGTTGGAGGGTTGTCCTGCCTTTGAAGGGAGGTTAGTTTTATTGCAAGGTTTTATTGACTTCTGTAAAACTTCTCACCTCTTGGTTGAAGAGAATGCCCAGAAAAGAGGGGAGGTGGCAGATCTCAGGCAGTGAATTGCTCGTTTCCAGGCAGCCACCACGAGTACAGCAAAATGACCAGCCAGCCCTGGGTCAGGGAGAGAAGATACCGCAGGGCTGGGGGAATCCGGCCGGAGGAAGCCCCCTTGAATGTTTTGTCCGGGTCTGCAAATGCCATGTGCAAGGAAAAATGCATGCTCTGCAGTGCATAGTTTTGCTGGCATAATAATTCTGGTATGTAATTTTTGGTTTATGCGTTCTTCGGGGCCAAGATCTGGCCCCATGTGTCGAATTATTAAATGGCAAATTAAGTCAGTTAATAGAATTAATTGAGTCGATGTAATCCTTTTAATCAGATGGATTTGATCCCTTCTCAGATGAATTAGAATCCATTAACAGATAAGTCAATTATTGGACTAAATTAAATCTAATAATAATGCCTGCTGCTCACAGCAACACTAATTAATCTAAATACACTTACCTATCTCCCAAGGTTGTTTTTTTTTTTAAGGCTTAATTGATGTTCCTAAAGTGCTCTGAGATCTTTAGATAACAGACGATCTATGTGAGCAAAATATTATCTCTTAACAGACTATAAACTAATTAAAAGACTGATCTATTTACAGATTGCATTTTTACTTTAATCTCTTCAACCTATTCAGAAGGAGTTTGCACTGGCCCAGAAAAACAATATTCCTGTTATAAGCTTATTATTACTTTACAGGTTCCTAAGTGGTCCTTTCATTCAGAAAATGAAAGGGGGAAGGGGAAAAAACAACCATTAAAGTGCTGACAGAAAAAAGAAAAGGACCTGGAACCTTTATATTCTACCTCCGATAAATGGTACAGATAGGGAAGAGAGGGATCAGTGACCTGAAACCTTAGATCCTTTCATTTATTTTCATTTCACAAAAGGCAGAAGACATTCTATCCTGTTTGTTCACGATCTTTGTATCCGGCGCAGTTGGGGAGACAGAGCTCTCTTGGTTGGGTGAAGGCATTTTTTGCCTCATTTGTATTTCACAGCCATGTGATTTTTGTTTTAATTTGTCCCCGGCTACTGCTGTCCTGCGGGGCGATGAGAAGTGATAGCCATCGGGAGAGAGGCGAGGGGGGCGTGAGAGGTCTTTGGGCTTGCCCTCTCCCTGGAGGTGACTTTTATTTGCGGCGAGCGCTTGGGTGTCCTGAGGGCTGGGACGCGGTATGTGTAGGTAGGTTATTAGTCAGTGTGTTCCAGGTTGCTCTCCAGTGGTATTTTGTCCATTGACCTCGTCTATCACAGTTTAAAAAAACTCTTGGGTGTCCTAGAAGGTTGTAAACCGTCTATTTTATAAGCCTTCTCGTTTATAAAGCTTCTAGGCTACAGCAAGGGAGGCTTTGTTCGAGGACACGCCGGGCAAGGGGCAGCGCGCAGGTATGACAGCTC